CGCTGTAGTGGTAAAATATGTCTCAAATGCCTGCCCTTGTATTTGCTGGAATGTTAACATGGTCGTTTTCTTTAGTATTTTGCTGTATTTGAATTTTACCCATAGGTATGTGCAACAGTTGATGGTCTATCAACAATTTTGCTGACTGATGGTTCATTCCAATTTTTCTTGATAAAAAAAAAATATCTGGGACAGTGGCATCAGAAAATTTTAAAATAACACAAATAGCAATTGGCAGTACAGAACAATCAAATAATCATAATTTAATTTGTAATTTGTTCTAACATCACCATTCTGTAGTGGGATATGTGGAAACTTTAAAGAGTTTTGGGTGTGAGAAACTCGTGGGAACATGTACTTAATAGTGGGAACACTTAATATGCAGAATTACTATATTTCTGAGTTATTTCAGATGTAACTTCTGTAGCGTATAAACAATGAGCCTATACCACAGAATCTTACTGAACCCGATAAAATTAATCCCCATTGATTTCAACATATTCATTAGCTAGTCCCTGTATCTAGCTACTTGAAACACAACAAGGTAATTACACAAGTTAAAGCTCAAAGTTGAAGTCCAAAGAAAACAATGCTGTTGGTTGCTACCTAATCCTGAAGACACCTAAGCATCTCTAACTTTTGGCTTCAGCCTCTGGTGCATTATTTTGATCATCAAGAGGTTGCACCTGTAAACAATAATTTTCTCTCAAAGTAAAAATAGAAGTGTAGAAATCAGACTTATTTGGCAACACTGACAAATGAAAATACAAACCGATAGAAAACAGATTATAAACAATTGATTATAAATAAGGATAGTTAATGTACAGTACTTGAAAATTGCTATTCAAGTGGTGCTTGTTATGTCCATTTCTATAACATGCTACTGCAGCATGACAAAAATCTGACTTAATCTCAGGGATTATTTTACTCTACAGTATGTCTTTCTGTACTGCATGTGGAGATAGGTTATTTACAAACAGTAGTTAGTTTTGGTACATAAAATACTCAGGCAAACAAAGATTCCTGGAATTAGAAAGAAAAATTCCAGTAAAATGAAGATTGAACTCTCAAAAGTTCAAATGATATCTAAACTAAAAATGACTAATCTTCAGAGATTACATGTTACTATCTTTACTTTTTATTTTTCAAGTGCAGTAGCAGCAGAGTGTTTAAAATCACATTTCTGTTCTCCGTTAGTTTATAATAAATTTTCTGATACTACTTTTGCTTTAGCAGACCCATGGTTTGGGTTTCCGTGGGATTTTGTGGTAATACTAAATCTCCTCTCCATTAAACCAATTTTGTTTTGCTCTAACTGCTCGCTTACATCCACTATGAAAAGACAGCCCTGCTGAGTTTACAGGAAACCTAAAACTGGCATAGAAGGTGCCGAATTGGGCCGTGTGTTTTAATTAGGTGTTTTCTGTGTATTTAATATTGCAGCGGTTTATTTTCTCCACAAGAACAAGATTGTGTGAGCATTGCCTTTGCTGAACAGTCCTTTCCTGCTTGAAATCATTAGATTTGTCCAGGGATGACCAAGTAAATTACTATTTCTTCATGGGATGAAAGAGGAGGAGGAAGCAAACAAGAACAAGGAGATAAAAATATCACCATAAAATTTCAAAACAGCCGAAAGATGAAGTCCAAGTTACTGCATATGTCATTATGTCAGGAAATACAAAAAAGCAGACAAGAACATATGCTCTCTGTATTGGTACCTGCAGTATTTATAGATCTTTTAAAAGTAATGCTTAATACTTATTTACAAGAAAAAAGAAGTTGATACTACAAGTCATATAAAGAATTAGGTTATATTAAAAGATGTCAATAAGTTGCAGGGAATGGAGTGACTAATCCATGTGGACCTGGCTTCACGGACAGCCAATGACTTTCCACTGCACTGTCTATAAGGTGTAATCAGGTAGCCCAAATAGATAGGAGCATACTATAGATGCTGAGTAATGTTTCTTTAGAGGTACTGGTGGTGAGATTAAAGTATAATATTCTTGGGGGAGGAGTAAAAGAGGTAATATTTCATCTGGTAATTAGACTCCCATAAAGTTGTCTGTTGAGCAGTTTTGTGATCTCTGGCTCTTGTAAAAACAAACAGCAGAACAGCAAAACACCCAGTAAAATTAAGACTTGGTAACCTAATTTTGGATTAATCATTCCTTTGTTTTCAGGGCTAGGGCTTTAAGTACAATTCTGTAGAACTACAAACAAGGTACAAGTAATTTTGAGGAAAAAAAATAATTTGTTCAACAAGTTGTTAGAAGAGCTGAATTTCTGCTTCAGCAAAGAAGAAATAGCTCCCATGTCTTACTGACTGTAATATTGTTAACTAAATGTGAGAATCTCTGGCTCATGCCCACTGAGTTCAATGAGAAACAGCTTGAATCCACAACGTTTTGGATCAGGCACAAAATTATTTTTCTGGCTTCAAGGAAGAGGAATATATAGGACTATAAGGGAGTACAGCTGATAAAATGAAATCTTGGCCTCACTAAATTCAGTGGGAATTATACTGTTCACTTAGAAAAGGCTGAAATGGTTCATGATATATTAACTTGATTTCAGTTAAGCTAAAGTATGATTGGGTGGACTGGCTACAGAAAGCTCATGACGAAGAATAATAATAAAATATCTCCTTCATTCAAGACTTGAATTTTCCTACCAGCAAGCTATTAACACTTTCTTTAAGGTTTTACACAAAAAGAACAATTCTCATTCCTTGAAAATTTAAAAAAGCCTAGGGCACCAAATTTTTTTTTACATTTTAATCGAGTTTGTCAGATGCAAAGGGTAAAATTGACCCTTTTGCATATACAAATACCAAGCAATTTCAAAGGCATCAGCATCAGAAAAAACAGGTTCCTACCAACAATAGGATCACACATTATGCTTCAATACAAACCCATCTGCAGATACTTAACACACTTACTGGAGTGGTATAATAGTCCTGTTATCTGGGAGCCGTGTCACTTGCCCAGTGTAATTGCTGCTTTCCTGGCCCTTGTGACCTTAATTCCTGAAGTCAAGGTTACGTGTGTTTGAAGTCAAGGTTATGTGTTTTAGAGATGTGTCCACAAAAGAAAACTAAAGAGAAGAAAGTGCACCAAGGTGATCAGGAATAATAACAGCAAAGAATTAAAAATCCATCACCATTCTGCTTTTAAAATTACATATACCTCATGTGAATAATGATATTAAAATAGCTTCTTTTTCTATACTTGGATGCCTCTGCATTATACTTCATTATTTCAAATTAATACTGGAAAAAGATTTAGCTGAAAAACTTCCTTGATTGAGACCAAAAGAAAGCTTCATTAGCATAATTCCTTACAGTCTTTCTGTTAATATTTTCAGAGACAAAAACACAATGATCTTTTTTGTCAGAAAAAGAAAAAAAAAAAAAAGAAAAACTGGGAATACAGTGAAATTATGGAAGATCTAGATTACAACTCCAGTGAAAAAAGTGGGACAAATTGGATAGGAATATAAAAGTATCAGTTCTGACTGAAGTATGAAACTTATGCAAACAACAGAGGAAAAAAAACCCCACTCTTTTTAGAACATTTTGAGATGTGTGAAAACTACAAATGCTAGAGCTGTGAAAAGGAAACTGGGAATTTGATCCATATGTTCTGGAAATGCCACTGCCCACAGCTAAATTATTTTTGGGAGAACAGAACAGAGAACAGAAGAACAACTGCTAAAGCTGTTATAAACACAGGGTCTCCCTGGTGATGCAAAGATTTTACCATGGCAGATATTAATGAGTGACTATTACCATCTGGATACCATGTATGAAGAAATCATCTTTGATGTGTTCTAGAATAATTACTAAGGAATATGATACTATTTATCAATTATTTCTCCAGTTCTTTGAGGAGAAATCATTCCGCTAACGCCAAGGGGGAAAAAACACTATTCACGATGGTTCAAACATTGATTTTCTTCGTATAGGTGAATATGATTTAAAAGCCTGAACTGATCTGAGTAATTCTACTGTATTAGGGAAGATTGTATTTTAAACTTGGGAAGCTCTTCATCATGGCATATTTTTTCAGTGAAATATTTTTAAAATCTGCAACATAGGAAATAGCAGTAAGACCTGTGAACAGATTCTGGTACTGCTTCTTGAAACAGCACATCATGCTGATTACAAGAGAAATAATTACCAATTAACTTGGGTTTTGACATGAACATTTACTTGTTCACAGGAAGGTGTGACTGGAAGGAATTAGCTTCATTTGTTCTGCTATCAAAGATGATCAAGCCTTATATTTCTATTCTGTACTTTTAGCAACCAGAATCTTCATACCAGTTGGCATCTTCCACTTTTTACCTGAAGGCTGACCTTGAACATTTATTCCTCTGGCAATTCGATAGTCTGCAATTTTTACATTCAGTTTATTCTAGACAGTCAGTACCCATTTGTACCAACATTATCCTTCTCGTATGCAACACTTACTCTCTTAACTAGTTCATGCTAGTAACTCTTGCCACAGAAAGGCATGGAGACCAACATAAAGAGCGATAGGTTTAAAGAAAGGACTACGTACATTTTCTCAACCATACCAGCAAATTCTCTCTATAAAAGTTAAAAGATGTTTATAAAAAAATTCTGAATGGTGACAACTATATACCATCTGGTTTGTTCTGGTTTAGAAAGGAATTACATCAATCCATGATGTTCTATATACCACCTCTCCCTCACAACAGCCACTAAGCAAAACCTAGCAACAAAGTTGTGACTATCATATTGAAATAATCGAAAAATGAGTTTCTTTTATTACAAATGACATTTGAAAATTGTATTAATAACACACTTCTGGTTTGATACTAATTTTTACTCTTCTTGGGAAACACGTCTTTGCTAAGCAATTTATGAATTCTGAAAATAAATAGTTCTCTGCACATATAATCACCAAACTTGAACTGACCCTAAGTACAGTTTTTATTTTTCGTGTCTTTATTCATTCTTTTCTACATAGTATTTGTGGAATTCAGCATCTGGAACGAGCAGGAAACAGGTTGACTCTCTTTGACTCCCTTTATTTCTGCATAGTGACATTTTCCACTGTGGGCTTTGGGGATGTTACACCCAAGATATGGCCTTCAAAGCTGCTTGTTGTCATTATGATCTGTGTTGCTCTTGTGGTGTTGCCCATACAGGTAAATGTGGATTTTTCTTCTCTTTAGAATTGTTTTTAAAACAAAAGAATAATAATTGAAATAATTTCTTGTTACTATTATTATTGCATATAAAATGTCAGAAAAAATAACCATCTTCTATACCTCCTATTCTGTTTTTTTTTCTTTTTTTTTTTTTCCTTTGTCTGTTTGCTCTAAAAACCAGAGCACTAATAACAGTTTCCAAGTCCTGGTGAAAGCTTTCTGTTCCTGTCATGTACCACAGAGCCCTTCCTTCATCATGAGATACTGGTTTGTTATTAATGGAACAATTTAAAAAAAACCACAACAGTAGCCAGCACTTTCTTTATGAGTATAGCATTTCCTCTGCAGGCTCTCCCCATTTCTAATCTTGGTTCTGTCCACTTCCTCCTTTACTCTTACAGCTCAGTGCTAACTTGAAATAAATCTCATTAAATCTGCAACTCAAGCAAATTGGGTTCACAGCTGTATATGTCAGTACACACACAGACACACAGAGCCAACAACACAGTTAGGAATTTTTGATGACTACTTAAGTTTAGGACTTGTAATATTTTCAACAGGAAAAGGCTGATTTATGAAAATCCAAGTATTTCAGGGAGTCAATCAGTTTCATTAAATTTGTGCCAAACATTTCCCAGCTCTCAGGTGAGGCTTGATGACAGAAACATGGAAAGCCCTGCTGAGAGGTTAACTGTTCCACACTTGGTGATCATCCAGACCTCATGCCACAAAAAGGGGACATGAGGAGATATCGTGCATGCTTATTAAAGCTTATAGTAGACTTGCTAGACCATGAAGCTCCAAAGTTTCTCACACAGCCATGGTTTCCAGACTCTGCTTCTTTAACAGTGAACTAAAGCTCACTGTGAACAGACAACACAGAAACCCTGGGAGGCTGGAAGCTCCAGCTTTCAGCATTAATTTTCTTGAAATTATTTGAACATTTTAATTATACCGAAATATTTAATGTCTGCATACACAGACGTATGCACTAACACAACTATATTCCCACTCAGTGGAAATTTAGTAAAGTAAATATTCTATTGAAAACAAAAATATGCTTTAAGAAATTTGGAATTTCCTAGGAAATGGAAATTTCAGGTAGTTCTGATATACACTTCAGGCATAAGAGCTCTGCATTACCAGTAAATAACTTGGAATCTACTGCCTTTTCACATAAATTTACTTATTATTAGCTACTTTATTTTATAGCTTTGTAGTGATAATGGGGCTTCATATAGTTTTCCATACACAGAATGTGGGAGGCATTATATCCTGAACTTTTGTCCTGCTATAACATTAAATCAGTTATTATTCACGATTCAGTCTATCAGCTGAATATGGATAAGAAAAAGCAGCTATCACACAGATATATGGTTAAATTGAGCTCAGTATTAAATGCATACTACTTACAAGAAGCTTTGAAATGGTGTTTGTATGTTTTATTACAGATTGTTACAATGGCACTAATTGTCACAGTTTTCTCTTTTGTCTAAAGGATTCAGTCCAGTAGAGCAATGTTTAGTGTTAGCCACTATATATTGTTCAGCTGGCAAATTTGCTGTATTAAGAGCTGCTGTGTAATTAAGTTGTATCTAAATTTATAAGACAGATAAGAGAGTATACGGAAGGTCACCTTCAGAACATTATAAAAATCTCTGAGAAGAGTTATTGCCCAAACGAAGTAAAACGGTGCTTCTGTCTGACTATCTACACTCACAGTATACACTTGAGTGTGTGAAAATTTAACCTTTAATTTGAGGGGAGCATTTATGTCACATGGCACTGGGAAAAGAGAGCTCAGGTATAAAATACATAAAGGAAATAAGGTACAGCCTTAATTCTTTTCTAAAATCTTGAGATTTACTGTAATCTGATAATATTTTAATGGATTTACGCTGCTATTTGTGTGTAGTAGAGACTGGCTCTACTGCCATGTTTTTCAATCACCCTATTATTCATCTCACTCACTTACTAGAGAACTTTTTTCAAAGAAAAAGACATTGTGCGCTAAGGGCAGCTTTTCACAGAGGCATGAGATGAATAATGCAACATTGTTAAGTCATGATGCAGTTGTACTGCACATCTGCTTGTCTCTATTTCACTGACAATTAGCATCTCTTGCAGTTTGAACAGCTGGCATATTTGTGGATGGAGAGACAGAAGTCCGGTGGTAACTACAGTCGACACAGAGCTCAGACGGAAAAACACGTTGTGCTGTGTGTTAGCTCTCTGAAGATTGACTTACTTATGGATTTCTTAAATGAATTCTATGCTCACCCCAGATTGCAGGTACTCAGAGTGAAAAAAAAGAAAAACTCAAAACACCGATTTTTTTGTAGATAGCCTTCTGAAATAAACAGTCTTTAATTTGTAAAATTGAATTTGGAAATAGCTGACTGAATTGGGAATCTATAATGGCAATAAGAAGCTGAGATACAGTATGGAGACATTCATTTTAAATTGAGGTAAATAGACTAAATAGATAGAATTACTGTCTTGTTGAATTATGCCAGTCCTTTTAGAAACAGATATTTCCATGCAAATTCCTTATATTCTACCCCAAAACAGAAAATAAATGAAAACTACTCAATTTTTTTTTTGCTGTTGTTTTGGGACTTGATGCAAAACTCCTCACAAGTCAGTCTTGTGGTTTTTGCATTTTGCTTTGTTTTTTGCCAGTGTGAGGAAGATTAAATCCTTTTGGAATTGTTGAAATTAAGAAATAAATAGATGTACTTTAAAGGCCAAAGACCTTGAAAGATTACACAGAAGAGATTTTCTTAGTGTACACATATTCTCTAGCTAATGCAAACATGTCATATGACTTGCTTTGATCATATAAAAGCTTAGTTATATGAGATAGCAATTTGGATTCATTATCATTAGCTTTGCTATAGACGATTTCTTTTACTAAATCTTCTCTATGTCTTTTACTAAGTTACCTGTGGTACCATGCTTCATTAACTAGTGCAAAAATCCACAAAAAAACAATCCTCAAATTGCTGAGCAGCAATTTGACAAATCCCAAATCCAAAATATTCCCCCAAATAATTAGCTAGTAAGAGGCATAAGCAAATGCACAAAGAAATACAGTTCTTTATAGATGCAAACACAAATTGAAATCCAAAATTTACTTAACTAGCCTGAGGAATGAGTCAGGCTCTGTGATACACTGGAGACAAAGAAGAAAAGTCCTAATACTACTTATGTAGCCTAAACTAGCTTGTATACATTGCCTTCACAGTTGAAATGGGAAGCTGAAGGATACAGATGACGCACTGGATCCAATGCACTAAGCTTTTTGCAAAAGTCTATGTGTGATAAGGAAGACTTCTATGACAAGCCTGTCCTAAGCTCTCAGTCTCTACTCTCACATTCCATTTATCTCTCCTTTTCATATGTATGCACATGTATACTTCAGAGCAACCTTACTTTTCCTAACAAGGACTAAAGCAGCACAGGAAACAGAGTTTGGATCTGCCCATTAACATAGAGGAAAAAGTTTGGGAGAAGACAATTCTATTTCCATTGTTGAAAACTTCCTACATTTTTCAGCTAGAATGACAGAAGTGTAAATGGTCTTTAAAAAAAATTATGCTCATATGGAAGCAAAAATGTTTCTAAATGGACTTTATTTGACACCCTGGAGTCTTTTGTGAGCAGTTGACAACTGTCCAGCTATTTTTATTAAAGAATTCAATATTTTAAAGACATGTATTCAAATAACTTTTGTCAATTAAATTTGAGAATTATCAGAGACATTTTTGACATCCTGAGTCTCTGTTGACTCATTCTTTAGCAACAATAAATGGTAATATAAATAAATAACATGACTATTCCCCCTTATGTTTTTGACAGGACTATTATGTCGTTATTTTGTGTCCTACTGAGATGGATGCTCAGGTCCGAAGGGTGTTACAAATCCCAATGTGGTCCCAAAGAGTTATCTATCTGCAAGGTTCAGCACTAAAAGATCAAGACCTGTTGAGAGCTAAGTAGGCAAATATTGACCAATATTTTTTTTCACTTTTGTTTCACTCATACTGTTTGATAAATAAGTTTGACAAACAACAGAAGCTGTGCTAGAAGGAAAGCATGTATATTTAGAAAGCAAGGCTCTTTGATATAATTTGTTTTTCTTAATACCTGAAATTTTTCAAGGAACAAATATTTGTAAGCTCTCTCATTTGACCAGATTTTTCGTCACTGTCTTTTCTGTCTCAGTTTTTAAAGGTATTGAAACATAGTGCCTGTGATTTCTTCTGAAAAAGCGGCACAGAAAATTACAAAACTGCCAGAAATGATAGAATTTGTTTCTGTTCCTTGAGAAAAGATGATAAATGTGATGGTAGTTCTCCTAACCAACTAAAGGAGAAAAAAGTAAACAAAAATAATTATCACCCTTTGAACTCATTGCACAGTTTTATTTTCTTCCTAAGTTCAGCCTGGTAGTATAAGCAACTGCTCTACTATACCTCTATATAGTCTTCTTTCAGGTCCTTCCTCTTATGGCATACTTCCACCACTTCTAAAAAATCCTCTCTGCCAGTTAATAGTGAATGACATTAATCAAAACACATCAGTCAAACACAGTTCCTCAGACCGCCTCCCCCATTACTCAATCACCTGAACATGTGAAGGAATTCACACTGGAATTCAAGTAGGAAGATAGTCTCTTTAAACTCTCCAAAGAGAAGGGTGATTCTTAGCAAATAACTGATTTAACTTATCTGTATTGGTCTTCATAAGAATTTATTCAGCAACTAATATAGGTATCTAAAATTAAGCCAATACCTATCTGAGTATTTGTGTCATTCACCCTTATTTAGCCCAGGGGAGTTATTTCCAAGAATCTAATCTGTGAGAAGTCTAGTGAGCAGTGTTATCTTCTCAGAATTCTGCCACTGGAAAAACAACTACTATGTCTGTTTAAAATTTGAAAATACAATAAATATTTTTTCACGATTAGGAATTTTCTTTTAGAGAGGTTCCTTTTTTTGCTTTCTTGCTGACTTCAGGAAGGAATTCATGTGGGATTTAGCTGGCATTCGTTCTACACATTAGGAGAAGAAAAATTAGTTGTTCCCTAAAGATAATCTTGGATTTCACTTATTATAACCTGGAGGTAGTCAAGTGTGGAACTGTACTTTTTCCTGCAGAACATGTAATTGAATGTACCTGTCATAGAATAATTTTCAACCTCCCCTGAGGGAAGCAGCGTAGTGGGAATTTCAGAGAACATTTAATATGAAATATAACCCAGTACCTAAGATGTTTGCTGTATTTTTTAATGACAACATAACGTACTGAGAAGATAATGCTGCACATGGTAAACTTCTAATAAATAAAGTAATGGTTAACAACAACAAATAACCAAGAAGTATCTCATTATCAAAATTTATATGTATATTGTATGTGACATGCGATGTCAAAATAACATGATAAAGGTCGCACCAAAAAGTAAAGGAATACCAAAAGTCAGCTGACTGCATAAGTAGTAAACAGTCAGTTAACTAAAGACTGCATTTTTCTTTATATACCCTAGTACACAATTTGACTTTACTAAAATGGTATTTGTTCTTGCTTCCTACCTTTGAGGGCTTCACTTTGCAAATTTTTGGTGTTCTCTGAACAGTGTTCATGTGCCCAGCTTTAAGAAAAAAAAAACACAAACCAGAATGAATTCTGTCATGAGGTATCACACTGATACTTAGATTGTTCATTGGCATGACTGGAAACTTTATAGCTACTTCAGCATTTGAAACAACACAGTAACTGATTAAAACAGTGCTCATTCTTCATGCAGACTAGCACTAGAAAGTGAGGAACACTATCCTGCTTGATTTCTTTCCCCTACAGCTTTCTGCCATGTTCTGTCATGACCTCAAATGTTTTTCTCTCTCCTTCCACTTTCCTTAGTGAACCATCACAAATCTTAATCCTCTTCATGTCCACTCTTTTTCTTTACCATATTCTTTTTCCTTTCACAAATTTCTTTTCAATATGTAAAGTCCCTTTAATTTCTGCCATCCTCAAGCAGTGGAACTATTGGAGTTTTTTGTCTCAGATTCAGTTTTCTGGCACATAAAAATGGTGTAATTGACAAAACTTTTTCAGTTGTTAGGACATTAATAACACTTCCCTCATAAGGATACTCTGGGTTCTAATAAAATTTTTTTAACACAGGTGCTATTAGTGTTTCTGTTGTCTAAATTCATGACATTCATAGATGTTAATCTCAGGTTATTATCCTTGTCACCTGTGGCTGAAGTGATTTAAGAAGTTATAAAAAAAACATTGGGGAAAAAGGTGAATATGTTCACATGAGGTTTCATTTCCTTATGAAATCATCTATATACACTATACATCTGTATGTCATCCTAGTTGCCTCATCAGCTCTCATCAAAATCTCATCTAATTTCACTGAATTTTCTTTCCTACAACTTTGTTAAAGACCTATCTTCCCGATTCTGCTCCCATGCTTAGCTGAAACTACTGATACAACTCTCATGGTTTCTTCCTAATCAGCACTCAGAAGTGGCCTTCTGTCCTTCTCCACATCAGCTGCATTTGACATTACTATTTTGGATATATTGGTTTGCCTTTGTTGCAATGATTTTTCCATTTCAAGTACTTTAATCTTTTGAGGCTTTCCCTGTTTTCCTACTGCTAGGTGCCTGTGGGGAATCTACAATGAGCTGACTTTATCCTTATCTTTTCTTTATACTTTTTCTGAATGATCTCACACAAAACGCCCAAACTTAATTGCTATTTCTATAGTCAAAAACTAAAAGGTTTGCCAAGCTATCTGACATCTCATTATGGGTATCTATTCAACAACTTTAACTTAGTTGCAAATAGTTGTAAATAGATCGTAATTTTTGCTACCAAAATAAAACCAGTGTGCTACTGTGGATCATAAGCTTGGAATCATATTGTAGAGCATCCTGTGTAGACTGAGCCTGCATCTTGCAAGTGTTTTCTCACACAAGCTCTCATTTTTGCCCCAATTAAAACTGTATTTATGTTCCTGATATATATCATCTCCACTCCCTGAACCCTTGTTTCAGAACACTCTAGAAATATTATTTATGTAGTACGTCGCTTTGCCTCATTGCAGTTCTTCCCTGGCTTACCCTTTTTGATTGCATCAAGGAGTGACCCCTTATTCTCACTTAGCCTGCAACTCCCAGTTTTTACTGAGAGGTAGCCTTCTGATAAGTCTGTAATGCTATTCTCTTTCACACATACAACAGGTTAACATACAAGTCCCATTGTTATTTCACCCATGCTGTCCCTTCAATCTAGGATTAATTTCTCAGAAACATCTGTAAAGTAGTCCCAGTATCCTCCATCACATCCTCTCTTCAGTCGGTTCTCTGCTCTGATAACTAGTGAGACCACTTTCTACCAAGATAATTTTTATATTCAGGTATTGTCACATTGTTTCTTCCTGTTTCCCATGTTTGCATATACTTTTGTTGTCCGTTGTCATGTCGCTTAGAGCTTATATGGCAAGGACTGTCTTTTTGTTCTGCGTTTGTACAGCACCTAAAAGAATAGACTCTCAGTCTAAGCCTAGGGTCCCAATGGCCTAAGCTGTTACTAACATTCACCAACTCCATTTTCTAGCAGCAGAGAAACCAAAGATTTAGGAATCTCAGGTCCCATTCCAGAATGGAGTTGCTTTAATAAGCAGTGAATTACCTGTTCATTTTCCCCAGCTTCTGTCTCACTTTTCCCCTTCCGATCATCCTGTTTCTCTTTGCCCAGAAATTCCTGTCTTCCCAAGGAGGCTGACCAAGTCCCTATTTCTTTACTTCTACATACCAGTAAGTGAAGTAGGATTCACTGGAGAAGGATATCGAGATCTGAGGCAAGAGAGGAAAAGCAAACTTTGATGAAACCTTCAGTCAGACAGTTTTCCTCCGCACTTCCACCACTGGTCCTTTTATTACACGGCCAGTTGTATCCACTAGAGAACAATTGAGCATTAAAAGTTCTCAAAGAGACCATGAACTGAAAAGAGTTAATGCATTTAATGCAAACATACACAGAAATGTTCATTATTTATGCCAAACGCATTATTCTAGTACATCTACCCATCTTTCTGCTATCACTATGCAAGAGAAGTCTATATTAAAGTATCTGTCCTCTCTCATTCATTCTTATCAGGAATAACTTGTACATATCATACCCTTGCACACTATGCAGACTGGTGGTATTTATTCACCTTTTATAGTCATGGCATATAAATATTTATTTTGCAAATTAAATGTGTTTGAGGCCACTCTGCTTTTATCACTTTGGCACAGCTTCTACTGGCGCCAGGGAAAAAAAGTTTCCCAGAACCTAGTCAAGAAGTACTGGTACACCAGGAGTTAGTGCACAATGGGACTGATGCTGACATTCAGATAACGCATGAGAACAGATAGACTAAACTTTCTCTGTATTCTGTTTCTATAAGCATACAGGACTATAAACTCTGAAACATAAGTCCATGTAAGTATTTTGTTGGTATGTAACAGGCTTCTCTCGCCTCTTCCAGAATGGATGATGCTGAAGCTTGTTTCATTCTGAGTAGCCGCTGTGAGGTGGACCGGACCGCAGCTGTAAGTTTTGAAGAAATAAGAAAGTGCATGCTGTTTATACTGTTATTGCCCTTATTCCCTCTCAGGGACCAAGACTTCTTCTGTGAACAGAAGATAAAAGCTGATTTACACAGAGATTTTGCGTGTGGGTTGAACTTCTTGTCTCAGTTAAAATAATGAAAAGGTTTCTATTGGATTCTAAAAGGCCAGGATTTCACAAATTTATGAAACATAATCTATTGGCTCATTTCACATAACATCTCTACTTCTGCTTTTTTAGCAAATAAATTATATGACCTATCTACCAAAGAAGTTAGGATTTTACAGGACATTTTATTTATACATTGAACTCTTTTTAAAAAAAAAGTGAGAAATTGTACATTCTTACAGGACTTTTAAAAATTCTTTTAAAGTCCTGTAAGAATACAGTACTTTCAAAAAAAACCCAACAATTTTCATGCTGGATAAAGTAAATTTTTATGAGTTCTTGCCTTTTATATGGAACAATAGGAGAATACCATATAAGCACTATCATAGAATCATTTAGGTTGGTAAGGACCTTTAAGATCATTGAGGCCAACCATAAATGGAGCAGGGCCAAGTCCATCACTAAACCATGTCCCTAAGCACCATGTCCACATGCCTTTTAAATACCTCCAGGGATGGTGACTCCACCACTTCCCTGGGCAGCCTGTGGGTGGTACCCCCCCCCCTCCCCGGGCCAGCCTGTGCCAGTGCCTGACAACCCTTTTGGTGCAGAAATTTTTCCTAACATCCAATCTAAACCTCCCCTGGTGCAACTTGAGGCCATTGCCTCGTGTCCTTTTGTTACCTGGGAGAAGAGACTGACCCTCACCTCACT